CCAGCCCAGATTTCCTGAGAGTGCCAATGAATGCATCAACACACTGAGCAGGGTGGCTGAATGTGGAGGCTGGCTAGAGGGTGGTGCTTGAGGAGCCATGGTCTAGGATCTGGCCAAGTCTGCTGGTGCCCCCTTGCATTTCCAGTCCTACTTTGCTATTGACTATATCCTGTTGGCAAGAGGGAATCTGGAGCGATGACAGCAGGTGGGTGAGAAGAAAGCGAACCAAGTAAGAAGTGACAAACTTTGGGCAAGCAGTAGTAATATGTTATTTGAAAAACTGGCTGAGGATAAAGTGGATGTTGTATGTCAGCGCATGCAGACAGATGCTTCCTTATTCTGCACATGTGGGTAGCTGCCTCCAGGAAAGCCCTAGTATAGTGTCTGTCAGACGTGCAGGGCAAGAAGGGAGGCCTTTCTGGCCTCGGCACTCTCACCTTCTCGGTTGGCCTGCAAGGTGGAAGCTTGGCTGAGGTTGGAAGGAGCTTCATCCATCAGCACGTCCTCTTGTGATTCATCCTCTCCACTTCTGCTCACTGAAGGTTACAGAGCAGAGCCTTCACTGAACAACAGAGGACTTCCCTTTCCAGACTGGGTGCGTCTAAAGTAGCTATGTACACCTAGCAGATATCCACTTTTTTTGTTTTTTGATGAGGGAGAAGACCTGGATTGTCTGCTGTCAGCTAGCTAGGTGAGCTTGGCCAGTCACTTTACCTGTCTGAGTCTCAGTTTCCTCATCTGTAAAACAGGATGATCACATCTGCCCTGCCAATCCCATTAATTGTGAACCACAGAGGATACTGGGTGTGAAAAAGCTTTGTAAAACTTAAGAATACATGTCTACTTCCATTTATCCTTTGATTTCCTTGATCAACAAAGTAAAAACAAGTAATACATACACCCTCAGAGCCAGGTGATAGTAGGGTACCTTTGCCATTTCCCCGTTGAGATTTATAAAGGGCCACCCTCAGGGAATGATCACTCTTTTTACACTACTGAGACTCAGAGGCAGAAAGCCCCTGGACTTCACTGAAGAAATGAAAGGAAACGCTTTCGCACCCTACAGCCTGCCCTAGGCCTCCATGAATAAACACTCTTTTGATGTGCTTGACATATCCTCTATATCGATGGCCACTCCCACCACCTCCCCCACACAGGCAACACTTCAGACTGCCACAGGCCTGTAGATGTCTTGTGAATTTCTCATCTGTAAAACCATCAACATCAAGACAAGCAGCAATCTAGGCTGGCTATGAGCCCTTAGGCAGAGCTGAGCAAGCAGATGATGAGAAAAAGGGTCCTCCCAAGAGAGACTGAGGCAAAGGAAGAGGCTATACTCAGTTCTGGGGCTCTCACCTATAATTGTACTGTTCCCAGATCCGCCATCCCTCTCAAGCAACTCATCTATCAGGTCCTCCAGCTCATTCTCAACCTGGAGAGAAATAGAACATATATATGGATGCACACAAGTCTATCATTGTGCTAGCACCGAAACCCTAAAAAAAGCCAGCAAAGGGGCATACATTTCTAAGATAATATGTGACAGAGGATATTACATGAAACCACACACTCGGTGCAATTAGCATAGAAACCACCACGTGCTGCCAATCCACACTCAGACCATCCTTCAAATGGGTCCATCCCAGTTATCTGATACTGGGTTAGTCTTTATACTGCCCAGGAAGACATATAGATCTCTTTAAAGCCAGCAGCTTAGGACCACAGGTCCAATTTCTTACCCAATGCTATGAGCTCCATAAATTACAATGCTTTCTTTAGGTTCTTTAGAATACTGCTGTTTTAATGCCCCAGCAACAGCTGGTGCTATTGGCATAAGGTAGTGTTAAGGAGCTTCCATTAATGACCAGAGCCAAGTAAATCAAAGACCTTGGGCCCAATGGTCTCAGGCCAGCTTTCTACTTCAACATTTCACCTGTGCCTAAGTTTTCTGGTTGGGATCTATATCATTTCATAGTACATGGCATCCTGGCCCTGCCCCCACCCCTCTTTTAATACAATTCAAACACATTTACTGAGCATCTACTAAGCATATCATCCATGCTCCTCTGCAAAGCAGCCAGCATTGAGGCAAAGATCTAAAGTACTCACCCACCCACACCACCTGGCAAGGGTTTGGTTCAGCGCCGCAACAGGAGAATGCTGGGTGATCTGCCTCCCTACCTGCATCTCTTGTGAACTGAGCACCTCAGGCTGCCCAGCAATCACCACTGAGTCGGTTTCAGCCTCCCCATCCATGATATCCCCATCTGCCACCTCTGTCTGAGTGACATCATGATCCTCCTCCTGCACTTCTGCTTCCCCAGGCTCGCCTGAAACAATCAACCAACCAGCAAAATAATCAAAGAGTGCCTATGTGCTGGGCACCACGAGGCAAGCACAAAGACAATAAGGTCCCTTCCTTGGGCAAGTTTACAAGTTCTCAGAGAATAAACGAATGGGTGACAAAGGAAAAGACAAGGCTACGTGTGAGGATAGCCAAACAAGGCTGCATTTTGAAGGAATTCTTTGTGGGGCAGATTCCCACACCACTATGACAGATCTCTGGAAGGCCAGCAAGTTCCCAGGGAAACAACACCAAGCCAGAACAATGGTGATACCAGGCCCATAAAGCAACTACTCCCACCCCTCCAGCTCTCCAGTCCATTGGCTCTGATTTCCTACCTGGGTCCTGCTGGTTGCTATTGGAATCTTGAGCGGCTCCTTGGGCATCCTGCTCAGACTTGTTCTTGCTAGATGCACTCTTGCTGCCAAAAAGGCTACTGGGCTGGTTCACAATCCGGGAAAGTGTTTCCAAAGGCTTCAGAGCAGCATTGACTGTGTTGGCCATGTTGGGACTGAGATAAGGGAAGATAAAGAGACTGAGCACAGAAATACTAGATGTCTATCTTCTAAGTGACACTAAGCTTCTTACAATGGAATCTACTAAGAGAAAAGGGGCATAAGGTCGCACAACTAACATTCTACTTTTGTTTAGAGAAAAAAAATCTGAATTAAATGTCTTCAAGGAACCCACCCTAAAAGCAAAAGTTAAATCAATGCCATATTTCATGGGGCTGTGGAAAGCACATGAGGAACAAATTCTTGACTGGAAGTCAGGATGTATACTCGATGACCACATGCAAGCAAGCCACTTCTCAGACGTACTCAGGCTTTTTTTTCTTGCTCTTGTTACCTCTGCCTCCCGGGTTCAAGAGAGTCTCCTGCCTCAGCCTTCAGAGTAGCTGGGATTACAGGTGCCTGCCACCATGCCAGGCTAATTTTTGTATTTTTAGTAGAGACAGGGTTTCACTATGTTGGCCAGGCTGGTCTTGAACTCCTGACCTCAGGCAATCCGCCAGCCTCGGCCTCCTAAAGTGCTGGGATTATAGGCGTGAGCCACCACACCCGGCTTTTTTTTTTTTTTAAGACCATCAGCATTTAGTCCCCAAATCCTAAGACCTCAAAGGAACATGATAAAATAATTTTTTTTTTTTTTTTTTTTAAAAAGACAGGGTCTCGCTGTGTTACCCAGGTTGGAGTGCAGTGGCATGATCTCGGCTCACTGCAACCTCCACCTCCCAGGCTCAAGTGATCCTCCCACCTCAGCCTCCCAAACAGCTGGGACAACAGGCGTGAGCCACCATGCCCAGCTAATTTTTTTGTATTTTTTGTAGAGATGGGATTTCGCCATGTTGCTCATGCTGGTCTCGAACTCACGAGCTCAGGCAACCTGCCTGCCTCAGCCTCCCAAAGTGTTGGGATTATAGGCGTGAGCCACCAGGCCTGGCCTGACTTAAAACTTAATTCACAGTTTTAAGTCCTGTGAATTTGAAATATTATTCTGTAGGGCTTCCTTCCTAGAGTTCAACAAAAGTACAATAGGGCTGCAGTTAGAGAAGTGGTGTGATTTCTAAGTGTAATAACATGTGTGAGACCAACTAGGCACCCACTGAAACCAGAGCAGCTCTGCTTTTATCTGCTTTATGTGTGCATTTATGTGAGTGTATGTATATGCCCACTAGTAGCAAGATAGCAGTCTCTGATACCTTATCACACTAAAAGTAACCAAGACACATCAGAACAAGTGATCCCAGGAATAGGGCAAGGAAGGTACAAGGTAAGCCTAGTACATCTCATTGTGCCAAAAAACTTTCAAAAATTAATAGGGCAGATGGACGTGATGGCTCACACTTGTAATCCCACCACTGTGGGAGGCCACGATGGGAGGATTGCTTGAGCACAGCCTGAGTAACACAGTGAGACCCTGCCTCTATAAAGGGGAAAACAACCAAAAAAAATGGGAAGAAAAATTAATGAGATCATTATCATAGGCCCTGTTTTGAGTATCAAAAAGAATAATGATACTGACGGAATTTTCATTACAAAGTGGAAATCTAACAGAAACCTCCCTCCCACCTCAGCCTCCCAAGTATCTGGGACTACAGGCACATGCCACCACACCCAGTTAATTATTGTATTTTTTGCAGAGACAGGGGCCCACCATGTTGCCCAGGATGGACTCGAACTCCTAGGCTCAAGTGATCCACCAGCCTCTTCTGTGATCAAATTTAGCATCACCAAAAATGGGACCAAGTGGTATTTACCTGTCCTCTGACATGATGTGAGAAGGGCAAATATCACCCATGTAGTATTTTTGCCAAAAATGTTTAACCTGATCCTAACCATTAAGGGAGCAATTACATAAATGTAGACTGTGAGATGTTCTATAAGACATCAAGCCTGGATTCATCAAAACAGGAAAATGTCATAAAAAAGAAAAGAAATTTGACAACCAAATGCAACATGTGATACTCATTGAGTCCTGGATCAAAACTCTCCCCCAGAGTATAAAGACATAATTGAAATAACTGGGAGTATGTGAATATAAAATATATATATTATTGGTAAATTTTTTTGATATGGCAATGAAACTGTAGCCATTGTTTTGTTCTTAGCCATTTTGTTCTTAGGAGACTTAAGAATATATGATTAAATACTCAGAAGTAAAGTTTTACACTTTTCCAACTAATTTCAAATGATTCAGCTTCTGAAAGGAGAGGGAGGGAAGAAATAAAGCAAAATGTTCAGCAATGGTTAATCCAGGTAGACACATGGTATTCATTACAGTACTGTGAGTTTGACATTTATAAATGTTTCAAAAAATCGATAGGTTTGTAGCAAAAGGACAATTTAGTCATCTTGAAGGGGCCACATAGGTCAAAGGTGTAATAATTTCAGCATGAAAAAGTGACTACAGTGATCCAAATAAATTCAATCACTGGTTTAAAAACAAATAAAATATCAATGAAAAGTTGGGTCCATAATACTAAAAAACAGAAAGCCAGAAAAAAAACCTACATTTGAGCCTCAAATGTAAATAGAAAAAAATTAAGTTTTTATACTGCCCCCACCACCTTTTTTTCATTTTAGGTTTTGGGGTACATGTGAAGAACATGCAAGATTGTTGCATAGCTACACACATGGCAGTGTGATTTGCTGCCTTCCTCCCCATCACCTACATCTGGCATTTCTCCCCATGCTATCTCTCCCCAACTCCCCACCTCCTGTGCAGTCCCTCCCCTATATCCCCTAGATAGACCCCAGTGTGTGATGCTCCCCTCCCTGTGTCCATGTGTTCTCACTGTTCAACACCTGCCTGTGAGTGACAACAAGCAGTGTCTGATTTTCTGTTCTTGTGTCAGTTTGCTGAGAATGATGGTTTCCAGGTTCAATCCACGTCCCTACAAAGGACTATACTGCCTTTCTAATAGAACTATTTCAGCACAACCAGACATTCCCTCTGGGGCTAACACAGAAAAATGCCAGTTAACAATGTAGAAGGAATGAGGAATTAGAAAGCTGTTATTCATAACCCTGAAATAAATTAATCGACCCAGGGAAGAATTATCAACTGACATTAAGGCTATTATTTAGGTATATGATTGACATCGTGGACATTTGTACAGTGCCAAAGTAACAACATAGTTGACTTTCTAAAATATAACAGCACAGTGACAATTATCATGGGAGACCTGTCTCTCATGATACAATATGAGCTATACATCACTTAAGCTACACATTTTAAGCCCCAATCTCAATCCTCTAGATCTAACTAGAAGCTTATAGAAAATAACAGGAAGGCCGGGCGCGGTGGCTCAAGCCTGTAATCCCAGCACTTTGGGAGGCCGAGGCGGGTGGATCACAAGGTCAAGAGATCGAGACCATCCTGGTCAACATGGTGAAACCCCGTCTCTACTAAAAATACAAAAAAATTAGCTGGGCGTGGTGGCGCGTGCCTGTAGTCCCAGCTACTCGGGAGGCTGAGGCAGGAGAATTGCCTGAACCCAGGAGGTGGAGGTTGCGGTGAGCCGAGATCGCGCCATTGCACTCCAGCCTGGGTAACAAGAGCAAAACTCCGTCCAAAAAAAAAAAAAAAAGAAAATAACAGGAAGTAAAGGATCAAGTATAAGGAAGCAACTGAACCAAATTTAGAAGGCAAAATATGGTTGCTTCAACAAGCTAGAATCATGAACAACAAAAACAAAAAATAAAGATCGAAATAATTAAAGATTTGTGTTAGAATAAGAGAGATTCAGAGGACATAGCCAGATGTAACACAAGTCCTTAACTGGATTCTGGTTTGGACAAAAATGCTTAATTAAAGATCGGGCATTAGGTAGAATGAAATTTATTTTCAGAGCAAGGTAGAGACCAGTAACTGAAAATAAAAACAACAAAGGCCCAAATTTTCCCCACCACAATAGCATGTATTGTATAATATCATTTTAGTAAAAAAATACATTATTTATGCATGCAAAGAAAAACACTGAATGATAACCAATAAGGTAATCATAGTATCTGGGTGGCAGGAATACAGTGTCTACTTTCTTATTTTTACTCATCTGTATTTCTTATAAATATATTCTTCTAATAAGTGGTTACTTTTAATTAAAGTGGGGGGGAAGCTTGAAAAAAAATCACTCTTATAGTTCAACTCTTGAGTTTATAGCAAATGAGAACTAAGGCTTAAAGAAAGATAAGTGCTAAAAGCCACAATTAAGAAAGACTTGGGTCTCCCACTTATACCCAAAGTTCTCCCCCCACACCAACTACTTCTGCATCATTCATCTAATGAGGCTGAGGAGAAGGAAAAGCCTGGGGCTGGGGCATCATTTTACCTGGACAGGTCTAAGCTGTGAGGTACTCTGGCCAGGTCATTAACCAGTCCCTTCTTCAGGAAGAGCCGAATGATGTTGTTCATGCCATTGTGCTGGGTCTTGGCTGTGGCACTGCTGTAGAAGCTGGAGGTGGAGGGGCAGGATTCCATGATAGTACTGATGATACACATCACTGCCTGAAGTCTGGGAGAGAAGTTTGACATCTCTATCATATGAATATAGCCATTTCTCAGGCCAAGTCTTCACTAAATAGCCCCAGAAAACCCTCCTGTAACTTTTATGCTTCCTTCTGGAAATAACATCTAAACAGGTGAGCACACACTCCCTAGGTGATAGCATTCATTTTTTCTTTTCTTTTGTAGACAGGGTCTTGCTCTGTAGGCCAGGATGGAGTGCAGTGGCACAACCTTGGCTCACTGCAACCTCCGCCTCCTAGGATGAAGCGACACTCCCACCTCAGCCTCCCAAGTAGCTGGGATGATGGGCACACGCCACTATGCCCGGCTAATTTTTTGTAGATATGGGGTTTTGTCATGTTGCCCAGGCTGGTCTTCAATTCCTAGTCTTGGGCTCAAGTAATCCAATGGCCTCAGGCTCCCAAAGCGATGGGATTACAGGCGTGAGCCGCCGCGCCCAATCCCCATTTCCTTTAAATAAAATTTTAAAAATAAGATCAAATAACTTGCTCAACTTCCTCGAAGACCCTAAAAATACAATGAACATTTCCCTTTGTTTTCTCTAGGTTTATACGCTTCCTCTAATAGTCATCATTACTTCAGGTATTTTCAAACACCAGAACTATTTGAGCAGACCAGAGTGTATGATGCCAATGTGACAAGAAGTTTTGTTGAAGTGCAAAACCACCCATGGACTAAAAAGAGTAAGGGGATGTTTTGGTTATTAGCCATAGGTCAGGTATGAATTTTACCTGGCATGTTTCTCTGTACTCTCAGCCATAGCCAGTGCCCGTCCCAGGGCTGCTTTTACTTCATTCACTAGGGCCACCTGGGCATCTGTGCCGCTCCCTGCAGCAGCCAGGCTTGCGAGGAATAGGCGAGCCAGGGCAGGGGTGTCCTTGTCTTCTGCATTCTGGGTATGTGGTAGCAGGTGGTCCAGAACAAAAGCTAGCACACTGCAATCCTGAAAAGTCATGAATCGCAGCAATTACTTACAAGCATGATTATGCCGTATCATTTGCACAGGACCAAAGGTACACACACAAATAGTATTAATCCTTAAGTCATCCAATGAGTGATTATTAGGTCCACTTTATAGATGAAGAAGCCAAGGCTCAAAGATACAAGCAAGTAAGGAGCAAACCCAGATTTTAGAAAACTTCCAAACCCCACCCATTTCCCACAACACAGCTTGTAACACTGTCATGTAGATGTCACTTGGTGTTTTTTTTAAAAACATTTCTTAAAATTTTATTTTTATTAAAAGGTTTTTTAAAGAGATGAGGTCTTGCTATATTGCCCAGGGCAGAGTACAGTGGCTATTCACAGGCATGATCACAGCACACCACAGCCTCAAACTCCTGAGCGTTTATTCCCACACCTCAGCCTCCTAAGTAGCTGAGACTACAGGCACGTGCTACTTCACCTATCTTAAAATATTTTTACATGTAATATTTAATAGCACTACTCACAGCAAATCAGCCCCCTAAAAAAGTGGCTTGCATGAAAGAATTTAGTCAAGGGCTGAGGATTCAAACCTTGATTCCTAATTAAGTGCTATAATTATTTACTGATACCTACACAATGTGCCCAGGACTATGTGCTGTAATAGAAGCTGGCGAGAGCTGAGTAAGAGACAGCAAAGTCACAGAAACTAATATGCAAAAATATTTAATGCAAGGTTATTTAAAATAACAAAAAAGGATCCATAGGGGAAGAAAATTAAGCCAGACTGTTCATTTTTCTCTAACTATAATTTCTGCCTAATCCCTTATCTTAGAAACAAATTCTGTTGTCATTCATGCAAATTTTGGATGAAAATACACTGAACACTTTAGAACTAGATAGGTGACAGTTGCACAACACTGTGAATGTATTAAATGCCACTCAGCAGCACACTATAAAATGGCTGATTTTATGTAAATTTTACCTCAAAAAAGAAAATGCATTGAAGAATTTAAGAGTCTGGGAAACTGAATAAAGTGACCTTGTTAAATAAAACTATTAGAAATAACAATTCATTTCCCAGTAGTGAATGCATATAAAGTTAACACCGTTTTCAGAATAACCGTGTAGAAAGGACTTAGCTTTGGAATCAGAGCCCTGGCTTCCAAGTTTAGCTCTGCTACTCTCCAGTAAGGTCCCAGGCAAGTTACTTACCTCTTTGAGACTTCTCTATTAAAGAGAGTAGTGAGGTGAGGATTAACAATAGTATTTATAAAGCATTTACCAGTACCCAGTACTGGTAGGTCACTGGACATATGTTAGGCAGATACCTAATAAATTTGTAATTAAATGTCTTAATCCACAGGTAATGCTATTATAAATTATAAATACCACTGACATAAATGAGTTAAATGCTTTGGAATAAAGCCTGGCTAGGTATGATAGCTCATGCCTGTAATCCTAGAACTTTGAGAGACTGAGCGGGGAGGATCACTTGAAGCCAGGAATTTGAGACCAGCCTGGGCAATATAGCAAGGCCTCATCTCTACAAAAAATAAAATTAGCTGGGTGTGGTAGCATGTGCCTATATGTCCCAGCTACTTGAGAGGCTAAGGTGGGAGGATCACTTGAGCCTAGGAGTTCAAAGCTGTAGTGAGCTGTGATTGTACCACTGCATTCTAGCTTGGGAGACAAAGTGAGACTCCATCTCTTAAAAAAAAAAAAAGGAAGCCTATTTATATATTTATAGGACGTATGTCCAGAATATATAAAAAACTCAATAAGAAAACTGGATAAAAGACTTGAACAGACACATCCCAAAAGAGAAAAATCAAATGGCCAATAAAGACATGAAAAAAATGGTCAAGGGGGAAATGCAAATTTTAACTATAATGCAATACCACTACAAATCTATTAAAATAGGTAAAATAAAAAAACACCAACTGTTGACAAGGAGGTGAAACAATCAGAACTCCCATATGCTGCTGGCAATAATGTAAACTGATCTGCTCACTCTGAAAAACTTTTGGCATTATTTGCTAAAGTTGAACTAGTTAGCATACTCTAGAGCTCAGCAATTCTTACTCTTAGGTATATACTATCCAACAGAAGTTGGGTAGTCAACCAACTTATATATGTTCATAAGGATGTTCACAGCAGCACTATTTGAGATAGCTCCAAAGGGAAAACTACCCAAATGTTTATTTGCAGTAGAATGGGTAAAAGATGTATTTGTTTTTGTATATGGTATATTCCACAGTGGGATTTTATACCGATGAAAATAAACTAGGCCGGGCGCGGTGGCTCAAGCCTGTAATCCCAGCACTTTGGGAGGCCGAGGCGGGTGGATCACAAGGTCAAGAGATCGAGACCATCCTGGTCAACATGGTGAAACCCCGTCTCTACTAAAACTACAAAACATTAGCTGGGCATGGTGGTGCGTGCCTATAATCCCAACTACTCAGGAGGCTGAGGCAGGAGAATTGCCTGAACCCAGGAGGCGGAGGTTGCGGTGAGCCGAGATCGCGCCATTGCACTCCAGCCTGGGTAACAAGAGTGAAACTCCGTCTCAAAAAAAAAAAAAAAAAAAAAAAAAAAAAAGAAAATAAACTAAACCTGCATACAAAATGAATCTTGCAAGCATGTTAAGCAAAAGAAGCCGGGTACAAAAGAGAGTACATTCTGTGAGACTTCAATTATATGAACTACAAAACCAAGTTATGGCACTAGAACTCAAGATAATGGTTATCTTGAGTAAAGCTGAAATGGTTAGGAGGAGATGCACTGAAGAACAAGGACGGCAGCTTCTAGGGAGCTTGTAAT